GAGTTCTAATTGCACCCAGAACATCTATAATTGCTGGTCTAACTCCACATTACCCCCACAAGGATAACACTGGTGACAGGTAGAGCTACAACACAGATACTTCTAAATTTCCTCCAATCATTCTGCAGTACACTGCAGTTGTACATTTTTTTTGCAACATTGTGGTTTTTTGTTAAAATACATACATGATCATGTCAAACCAGTTTTGATCCTGAACTACCAGCTAACAAAGATGTCCTTAAAAAAGACCTTTCTGATGACATGATTAGGGACTATTTCCTGGCGCAGCCTCCCATTTCTTCCTGAGGTTGTCAGATGATTGACTGGAAGCACTGCATAATGCGATGCAGAGCTAGTATATTAGGCATAATGAAATGACAACACAACAGAGCAACTTTGATAAATCAAATTAAAGTTTCCTGCAGACTATGAATGATTATATCACTCTAGAATGAATGGCAGCAAATGGCTTATTCACAAGGAAAGACAATAAAGAAGTGTACACAAGACAGGACATCCTTTATGCTGGATTTAGTGAAACTGTAGGAGTTCAAATACGAGGTGGTTGGTAATAGGAGAATGTGTTCTAATGAGTGCTGAACTGGACTGAAGGGTAAGCTGCAGCTATTTGTCCACAGTGACAGAAGAAAACCCAACCACTGTCCTTCAACACACTCTACACAAACAAGCACTGTCCATATGAGACTGAGAAGACACACAGGATACTATTTTGCTACATTAGCATTTAACATTTTTTACTAACATATGGTGAAATCAGCCATTCATCTCAACGGTCAAATGTGTGATGATAAAAGGTGAAGCTATCGGAGCATGATGCAGACAGGAAAACCTTATAGTCTATAGAAATCGGTCACTTATGACTTTGTTATATAATCAATTTAATATAAAATATATAACATGAAGCTAGGCAGGAACATTTGCCATTTGTCTACACTTATGTATTGCAAAGCAAAAAGAGGCGCAGACCTGAAACTGAATCATGAAATTGAACATTATGCACTTTGATAGGCCGCAGTTTTAGAAAAGCAGGACAATGTTTTGTTTTTTTCAGGAGGCTTAGTTTTTGTTTTTTTAAATGGTATTAAAATGATGTTTTCTTACCTTTACTGACCATAATGAAAATGATGCATATATGCTGTAATTTTCCATATCGGTTTCCTTTTGAACACAGAACTCAACACTGCAATAAGTCAGCCGTGCTAGAGTTTTATCTGCTTAAACGTACTGGTTTGCTTTCCAAATATATACAAAAGTGAGCATTTGTTGATTATATTTCTCCAAATTTGTCGATGAAGAATATGCAGTTCATTGGTGTTTTTGTGTTGATTAATAAGAAGAGCTCTATGTCACTAGGTGATGGATTTTCATTAGTTCTTATTGATTACATTGGTGTATGTCTTTTTAATTTGTATGGTTTGTATTCATGAATCTGAATTTCAAATGACATAAGAATAATAATTGCTGGTCTGGGAGCACAAAGGTTGAGCAGATACAGAAATTCATCTCTTAAAGGCCAGATTTTCCTGTTGTATCACATCAATCAAGTTTGATATGAACTCTTTATTCTTACCATGTTGTTTTCATTTGTACTTTTTTAAAAGCTGTTTAAAAATGCAATCATGCCTTGATGCAATAAATGTTGTCAATTAAAGAAAGAATGAGAACACAAAAGTGTATCTTTATTTTGTGAAGTATCTGAGATTAAAACACCTACACACGTTGGAGCGTGGTATAAATAGATTTTATTGGGAGTTGGAGTTCTGCACCTGTACAGTCAGGAGATAAAAGCTGTATCAAGGTTTATCATTGGACATAAACTAGTCAACTGGACCAACAGAAATTCTGACGTGATCGTACCAACAGAGGAAAAGTTAAGGGCTCACCAAAGCTATTACAATCCATCGAACTGAGAGCACAAACATCTGTATCAGATTTCATAATCAGTAACAAGACATTTCACTGCAAACCACAAATAACAACCTCATGGGAGTGCTGAAAGAAAAGGGGTTACCAAAGTCAGTTGGATTAATCCTTTAGGGAGTATGAATGTTAGTAGGCTCACCACATTTTGTGCCAGTAGAAATGTTTCACTTTGAGCTGCTGGCGATAGCTGATGAAAGGTCAGTGGACACCAGGGTCAGTAGGATTCATCCACTGAGAAGCAGGAATATCTGGAGAAAATACCTCCCAACAAAAATCCAGTTATGTCCATCTGGAACAAGGCAGTGGACCAAATGACAAAAAGTCACTGCCATCCCTGCAAGATATCTTTAAAAAACATGAAAAGGGAATAAATTAAAAAAAAAGAAGAAATCAATTAGCTCAGAGTCAATATACAGTTAAAAAAGGCAAAGATCACAAAGGAGTTTTCTGACTGAGGACCCTGAGCTTCATTATCACTCATCAAAAAGATAACTGAGGGACGGGCCGTGCAAAGTACAATCACTATGTCCAGGTCTGTAGTAGCCTCACTTTTTTTTTACAGCTCAATAAGTTTTGATTGTGTGTTTCTGGGTCAATTCAGTTTAATGAGAGGACAAACAAACACTTTTATCAACTACAAATTACTGTTATGGAAAGTAAATACAATTAGAAATTAGAGAAAGACTCATGCTGATTACAAAATGATGTGATTTATATTCTATATTTATAGAATATGAAGAGTTTAAGGCCATGCATCCACCTGGGCAGCCCACCCCACCTGGGGTCCTACAACATTCTAAAGAAAAAGAAGACATCTGGTTATCTGTTAGGAAAAGTATGCAAAATGTACTGCCACATCTAATCTCAATCTCTTCCAGGATTTTGGTTGCAGGCCCTGTATGAAAATGTGATTTTCCATCTCAAATCTCTTTTTAATTGAAACTGTTGGAGGAAAAGGGAGAAATGCGGCTTATCCCCGTCCCTCTGGCTCGGGGCTCCCAGAGGCAACAGGTCATGTGTGGAGATCTCCAGGAATGGGTGGAATAACTCAGATTCCTTAAAACAGCAGGGACTACAGCCAGATTTGAGGCTGAGACGTGTGACTGCTGACCACCCTGCAGTGAAAAAATCACTCCAGCTGATAGAAAAGCTGATTCTGTGACAGTCATGAACCATTTGATAGTAGCTGGACACCTAGAGGTTCCTTCTGTTTGCAGAGGAAATGTAAAAGATGGAGAAAAAGCATCAGTGTCACTATTGCTGTCAAGTTGAAGGGTGAAGAGGTACTACATTGTACTACACAATTGTCTTTGTCTGTGACCATGTGCACATGTGCTCATGGGCAGTTACATTATATGCCCATAATGTTTGTGTTAGTCCACAGGTTTCTTTGTCTGTGTGTGCTGCTCACTGAGAGTGTGTGTACATGTCTGCGATTGGAGGCCTGCGGCAGCCCAGATAACACTATCTCTGTGGAGCCAGAGCCCCGTGGTTCTATTCAGCGTGTTGGATGAGAGGCTGGGACTGCCCAGCACGCGGACCTGCTCAAAGAAGTAGTAACAAGCTGGGCTGTCACTGTAGGCTAACCTGGCTTATAATGCTTTATAACCTCCTCCTCCTTGCTGCCCCTCTGGGAAGCTCTGCATTGGTCTGTGTGTGTGTGTGTTTGTGCGTTAGGGTTACACAGAGGAGTGCATAGGCATAGACAGAGAGAAGAAGATGGTGTATTCTGTTTTATTACCATCATGGCACCCTCTAGACTGCTCCTGATTAGAGTCAGGCATAAACAAGGTCAACCAGCTTTGCTAAAGAAGCACCCAGACAAAGGATTCAGCTCCCCATTTATTGGGAATAATGGCAGGGCTATTCTTTATGGAGAACAGTAGATAGCAAACACGTGACGGGGGTCCCTCACTAATTAGATCCCTCACTGTGGCACAAAGCAAAAAGTGGCAGCGGGAATACGCCCTAAGCTTGTTTTATTGCCCCTGAGGAACCCCTGAGTGTGAGTGATTGCGCATAAACGTAAGTGTCACATTGACCTGCATGGAAGCAGGAACTGAACACATATGTCAGAACAGCACCATCAGTAGAGTTACCTTCACCTTTCTGAACTGGCAGAAAATTGTCATCCATCTCTGGTTTCCAAGCCCTCATCACATATTAAGGGAGAAGAGACCGGGATGATATTCAGCTGTTAATGCCTCTCCAGTCTGGCTTGGCACAAGAGGAGGGTCTTAGGCAGGAAATACACTTAAACAGTCTTTCTAAAAGACTGTTGTTTATGCATGAAATGCTAATGAGGGTTCCATTTAGATCATCTGTTCCATTTTGAAAGGAGATGTGGATGGTAAATTTGAATAAAAGGACTGAGGTGTGGTATGATGAGGAGGTTTGCTTTCATTTACAAAGATTATGGTTTTACCTACTTGTTCAAATGGTCAAAGTGTGCACACGGCCATGTTTACATACAACAAGAACAAGGTTGCTGTAAGAACAAAATGTTTTTGGCATTATCTCATGAAAAGCCTCACTGATGGAGTTTTTGTCCAGAAGAGCCTTTTTTCCTTCAAATGTGGTGATGACTAATGAAGGCCAGTTGTCCAATTTTTCGGTGTGCTATGACCCCGCTGGGGACCCTCTAGATTGTGTTTCAGGTTTGATGTGCTAATTTTATTTATTCAGGGCATGCAGTGTAGACAGATGCAGGGGAGCAAATGAGCGCAAACACAACAGCACACACACTCACAGCAATTATGATTATGTCTGGAGGTTCTGTAAGGCCAAGGAGGCTCTATTCACCCTGCTCAGGGTTTATATGTCACATTCACTGTGTCTTTTTCCCGCCCCGTAACGATAATCTTAATGAGCGATACAGCAACATCATAAACAATTTCCATTATATCTGTTACACTTATAGGTGCTCGGAGCACCGTTCCCATGCCATGACCTTCAGCGTTTTCTTGTACTTGTACAAAGTATTCTCCATACCTCACTGACAGTGTTGCTGTTATTGTGGGTGAGTGAAGTTAAC